TCAATTATGAAGAGGAGGGCTGCTGATGGGACTGGCATTCGGTGGGTCAGGGTATGATTTTGCTCCCGATCGCGCAAAAGCACCGTGACTCTCGCGTGTGACAAGCAGGCGTCGATGGCCCTGATCTGTGGTTTTGGAAGGGAAATGTTCTCAGGCTCGTTCTGTCTGAAGGGTGTGTGTGGCAGGCCTGCTTGACTGTGACACGTCTAACTTGCTGCTTCCCAGGTGTGTCAGTGACTCAGGTCTGCAAAGCGACATTGGGCTTATTGATGACATTGATAGTGTGGGTGGTTTTGGACTGATTTCGTTTTGTTTGCGGAGGTCTGACTGAGGGAAAGGAGTAATAGAGCCATGATTCCCGTCAGCAATGGGTTCCTCAAAGCAGGAATGAAAGGATCCAGAGCAAAAAAAAAAAGAGCTAATTCAGATTACAACATTACAAGTCGCTGTAATATGTCCAGCGGTGGCAATAAAGAAATGTGATCTGGGCATCGGTGGCTCTTTTTAAAAGGCTGTGCCCTCATTCTGGCGTCTCCTGCTACCTGGAGTCGGGTTCACCTCGCCCGGTGGATGGTGTTCATCTGCGAGCAGTGCTGCTGCTTCATTGCTCGGTGCCGTGTAGTCGTATCTGACGTGTTGGCAGCGGTGATGGTGGTCTCTGTCGTAGGGAAGATCTCAGCTCTCTGCTGTCGTGCCTGGGCATGGAGTCCAAGAGTGGCACGGGGCTGAGTGGCTGCAGCCCTGGCAGAGACGCAGGGAACAGAGGTGTCAGAGGACTGGTGCGCTCCGGGCAGGGCGCGTGCTTTCTCCCCTGCGCGTCCTGAAAGTCGGTAGGAGAACGACATTGCTTTGCACAGAAGAAGAAGAGCAACCCTTACTGGGGACTGCTTTCTGCCAGTATAATATCGATCGAGGGGATTGAAGCTGTGGAAGACCGAGTGAAAAGGTCAAGATGGTGACTGTGCACCGGAAAGGTTTTCTGTTTGCACCTGAGACCACTGTCGTAGGTGCAAACTAAAGCCTGTGATTCTTCACACCCATTCAACCAGAGAGAAGTGAGACAGATTGGCATCTTCCTGTCCTGTTTGTTTGACTTCTGACACTGCCCCTTTCCCGGTATGTTCCTTTGATATGTTAAAGTCTTGCCTACTTTTAATGTATAGAAAGGAAAGTGTCACGTCAGTCCAGGGAGCATGTCTTCCTGAGTGCGAGGGGAAAACCTTCCTCTGTGATATGCTCCCCTTCAGCTGGTTGAATTAAAGATCTCTGTTTGACAGTCTCCCAGCCTGAGTGAGGACTGAGTTTTCTTCCAGGACTGATGTCCACAAAAGCTCTCCGGGTTCACCCGTGTTCTGTATTTGTGTGGATCTGCTGTGGTCAACTCAGCAAAAAAAAAAAAAAGAAAGCTGCAGGTTTTAATTGATGGGGAAACAAATCACTGTACGTTACCTCATGCTTTATTAATTCCACACCCTGTGTCCCCATTTCCTGAATACCATGATACTACGTTGTGTCTCGCAGTATCTCGGTTTGGGGAGTCTGAACTGGCTCCATGTGTTTACTGAGGGTATTATTTTGAGATGCAGAACGTTGCTATCAGGTTAGCATTTGTCTTACTTTTTTCTTGATTCTGGGATCTAAAACGTTAGGGTTTTGATCATATAAATTGGAAACCTTAACTTCCGTTAAGTTCTGTTAAACTTTCATAGGTCCTCTTCCTGCTCTGAGTGCTGAACTGCTTGCTTATTCCAATCATAGTCGGACACAATTGTATCACTTTATTTTAAACTCTTGGCTTTTGTAGCTTTCCTGCAGGTGTGCTGTGTGTGAGTATATCTTGACCACAGGCTGTGTCAGGCTCTGTGCAGTGGTCAGTAGTGCTTCACTGCTGATTCTGTCACTAAAGTGAGTGACCTGTTGTGCTGAAAGCTGCGCTTTTATCTCTGGGGTCAGACCGCAAGCACGCTGGCTCTGCTTTGTTGTGGCACTGGATGCACCTTTGTATGCAAAATGTGAGAGGTTTTATTAAAAGAGAAACATGTAAAAACTGGGTTTATCAGAAATTTGCTTTTCTTTGCTGCCCTGGAGGCCCATGTGTGTGTTACAGACCAGGATACCAGAAGTGTTACACACCCTCCCTATTCTGCACATGCAGGACGCGTCCTTTAGAGGGCGCTGCACCCAGCTCCAGTCATGGGCCAAGGAAATTCCTCTACACAGAGAAGTGAGACACTTCTATCACATCTCATCCCCTCTGCTTTATTTCAGTCCTGTTCCTCTACTGTTGTCTTCAGCTTACTAAATGAGTCCTTGTCTACTGGTGTGATAGCAGTGACCTTTAAAACAGATGCAGTTACCCCTGTGCAACAAATCTATCTCTGGACAACCTGAATAATGTTAACCCAATATCCGGCCCACCCTTGCAAAAATATTGGAACATGCTGTTACAATTCGGTTCATAGACCATGTCATTGCAAATAACCTCTTTGAACTCTTCGGATCTGGTTTGAGACAACTACCCAGCAGAGAAACGGCTCTGTTTAAAGTCACTAATGATCTTCTTATGGCTTCTGACTCCGGTTCTCTTTCTATCCTCATTCACCTTGACCTCACTGCTGCTTTTGACACTGTTAACCATGACATCTTACTTTCTCAACTTGAGACCGTTTGGGAGTTTCTGACGTTACTCTTAAAGGGGACGTGTAGTCCCAGTTTCTCAGTACCTGTCTCAGTTATTATCTCCCTACTCCCCACCTCGCAGCCTCCATTCGTCTGACTCTGGTCTCCTGTACTGTTTGTCCCCCACTCCCCCACTCTGTGGGTGACAAGGCCTTCTCTTGCTACATCCCCAAACTCTGCAATTCTGTCCTCAAGGATATCAGAGAGTCGCCTTCCCTGAGCGCTTTCAAATCTAGAATCAAACCCTTTATTTATCTATGAATTGGCTTCATTACTCTCTGCTCTCCTCCCCACTAATAGCTGATGTGTGGGGAGCGTTCTGGCGCACTATGGCTGCCGTCGCATCATCCAGGTGGTGGTGGAGGGGATCCCCATTACTTTTAAAGCGCTTTGAATGGAGTGTCCAGAAAAGCGCTATATAAGTGTAAGCAATTATTATTATTATTATTATTTATTAGAGGACTTTCATGTAATCAGTTTGCTTTCCTACTCTATTCCAAACCTTTATTGTAATTGTGTAATTATGGTGTCTCCTCTTAGTGTGTGTGCAAAGCACTTAAGCCACTTTTAAAGGCTCTATGTATTATATATAATTATTATATATTATTATAATTTAAGACCCTCATTATAAACCGTATGTACAAAAGTATTGCAGGTTTTTCCAGCAATAACCACGTGCAATATTTTAATTCAGATACCTTCATCTTCTACATGATTAAAGCTTTAATAATCAATAATGGTAATAAATAATGGTAAAACTGGAATTGCGTTATCGATCAATCCTGTGTAGTTTGTCCAATTGATGACGCTGTAGTATGGGCTGTACGTGTGCCCTTACTCAATATGGCCACCTGACAGTCCATTAGGGCCAACGGCTTTTGTGTGCGGCTGAAGCCGAGCTGTGCCAGTAGCAGACATGGCGGCGAGGGGTCTCCGGCAGAGAGTCAGGCGAGGAAGCAAGCAGGAGGCAAACAGCGGGAGCCCCAATGTCGGCAGCGACCCCAGGATCAGAGACGAAATCAAAGGATCGGAGGAGAGTAAAACCTCGGAAACCAGGAATGAGTGAGTGCCGCGATCTCTCGGTCTATGGCATCTCTCTGGCAGTGTCAGCAGCTCGCATCTGCAACTCCATTTAAGCTACCCGAGCAATCCCACTTCTCCAGTCTCGATTGCGGGTTTAACATTCCGTCAACGGCATCACGCCTGACTTAGAGATCGGGCTCCGTGCTTTCAGGAGGAGACGCTGAATCGTGCTGAACATCTGGAAAAGAAACGCGCACCGCTTGTTTTGGTCTCTTTTCATTCATTGCGAAGCTGCCTCTGCACAACACGTAGCCGCGCACCCGTGCGCTCTGGCAGCCGGGAAGAACACGTCACCCCTGCCGTGCGCGCAGAGGTGTGCAGGTGCTGGCGGTGTCGGGCTGTGAAGATCGCGATCAGAGGGTTCCTCCCTGACCCGTGCTTCGGTTCGGTTGATTTGTCGTATGCGCAAGTGCCATGAAATGCTTATTTGCATGTATGCCCCGATACTAAGACGTTAAGGAATCACCAAAACATAAACACAGAAAAGCAGCAACAACAACAAGTTAATAACACCCAAAAAGTCAGACAAGCAGTGTGAGAAGAAAAAATGAGTAGCTGGTGTGTGGGGAGCGGACTGGAGCATCATCCAGGTGGGGGTACACACTGGTGGGGGTGGAGGGGATCCCCATGACCTGTAAAGAGCTCTGAGTGGAGTGTCCAGAAAAGAGCTATAGAAGTGTGAGGAATTATTATTAATTCTTATTAGTTCAGTAATCTGACAGTTTGTGGGAAGAAACTGTCTCTGAATCTGGAAGTCCGTGCCTTTATGCTCACTTACCAGGGGGCAGGAGGGAGAAAAGTGAGGAACTGTGACCGTCGGGGGTCCGCGCGGGCTCCTGCCCTCCGCCACCCGTTTCCTCCCGCCACACCTGGGGAGCCAACCCGGGTCTCCGGCGGAACGCGCCAGAGAGCCAACCGGGGGAGCTAAAGGAGACCTCCCCCAGCCCAGGGCGATGACGTCGCTGTATCCGAACTAGCTCCGCTACACAAGCAGGCTGGCAGGTCTGCGTATCCTGTCCAGCTGAGCCGCGAGTGAATTAAGAGAGGGAGGTGTAGCACAGCACACAGAAGCAGTGGTACAAGTCTGTCGAAGGGCGCTGTCAATCTGGGGCACACCAGGGTGCCGAGGGAGAACTGCGGAGATCGGTGGGCCTGTCCTCACCCCCGAGCTGCCCCAGCCAGTGTGCGTGAGCTCCTGGGGTACTAGTGCAAGTTCCAGGCCTGTGGCAGTCGCCTCACTAGGATACAATCACAGGTCTTGTAGCACTCTGTGCCTGCTGGTCCCCCGCGCCGCGTCTGTCCCTTTCACCCGTCTCTCTGTGTCTCCCCCTCCTGCAGGGGCTCCAGCAGGGCGGGGCAGGTGTGGGCGCCCGAGGGCTCCACGGCCTTCAAGTGCCTGGTCTCCGCCCGCTTCTGCGCCGCGCTGCTCAGCAACATCTCCGACTGCGACGAGACCTTCAACTACTGGGAGCCCGTGAGTACCGCCACCCCGCCACAGGGCTCCTGACTCCTGCTGCCTGCCCCTGGCTCTCACAGGGCGGGGCGTCCTGCCTCGGACACGCTCACGCCGGCTCACGACGGCTCACGCCAGTTCACCCCAGTTCACCCCAGTTCACGCCGGTTCACGCCGGCTCACGACGGCTCACACCAGCTCACGACGGCTCACACCAGTTCATGAAGGCTCACACCAGTTCACGACAGCTCACGCCGGCTCACATCAGTTCACGCCGGCTCACGACAGCTCACACCATCAATTTAAACTACCTAGATTCAAGTGCAGTAGAAATAAGTTCTTTTATTAGAATCTTTTATTCCCAAGGCTATTAACCTGCTTAATGTGAACAATTGATTGTATATTTTATTGTATTTATGTTTATTTTCTTTCTTTTTCATCATACATGTAATGTATTATTTGTTAATGTGTTCATGTTGTGTTAACTGTATTGTGCATTGTGTTTACCTACCTGCAAAGCAAATTTCCCATCTGGGACACTAAAAGGAAGTACAGTGCAGTAAGTCATGTGTCTCCTCCCTCCTAGACCCACTTCCTGCTGTACGGGAAGGGCATGCAGACCTGGGAGTACTCGCCCACGTACGCCATCCGCTCCTACGCCTACCTGTGGCTCCACGCCCTCCCGGCCTGCTTCCACGCCAGGATCCTGCAGACCAACAAGGTGAGCGCCCCCTGCAGGGCAGCAAGGTGAGAGGCCCATATAGACCAACAGGTGAGCGCCCCCTGCAGGCCGACAGGGTGAGAGGCCCATATAGACCAACAGGTGAGCGCCCCCTGCAGG